GCATAATTCACTTTTAACCATCATGATCTCTACTTGCTTTCTCCTCTTCTACATCCGTATCTCTCTATTTTGAGTACCGTGCAAATAACACCTTCATTGTCTTGTTCTTCACACGGCTCGATGGCTATACAAAAAAAAGTCATGTACTGTATTCTTATAAACAAACATTTTTAAAACATGCTCATTTTGCTGTACTGTGTGTGTGTGTTTGTGTGTGTGTGTGTGTTTGTTTGTGTGTGTGTGAGCGTGCGTGTGCGTGTGTGTTTGTCGTGAGTTGTTTATTGGTATGTTCAGTGTGTGTGTGCTTGCAGGCATGTGCGTGCATTTGAATGAAGAAATGAAAATAATGTTTGTTATTTGAATAATAAACGTTTGATGTATTTGTAACTTTGAAAAAGTTTTCTATAAAAAAAGCTAGCGAGATGAATGTTGAATGAAAATTTTCATCAGTGCTAAAATTGAGAACATCCGCAAAGGATTCAACATGAGATTACACACATATTATTTTGCATTTGGGTTTGCTGTGTGTTTTCTGTAGTTCCTGTCTGTACTTGTATGTGTGTATGTATGCTTGTTTGTACTTGTATGTGTGTATGTATGCTTGTTTGTACTTGTATGTGTGTATGTATGCTTGTTTGTACTTGTATGTGTGTATGTATGCTTTTTTTTGTACTTGCATGTGTGTATGTATGCTTGTTTGTTTGTTTGTATGTGTGTATTGACGTATGTATGTAAGTATGTGTGCGGCGTAGGTATTTGCCTTTGTGTATATGTGTGCGCGTGTGCATGTGCGTGCATGTATATGTGTTCGTGAATGTGTATGTATGTGCGTGTTTTTAAATGCGCGCACGTGGATGTGTGTTTGCATGCAATGTATGTTTTGGCGCATGCATTTTGATGTGCTTGCAAACATCATAATGCATGTGTAACGCATGTCATGTTTATTGACGGAGAAAATTATTTGAAATAACACAACACAATTCATATTTTAAAGGCTTGGAAACTTCAGAGAGCAGCAGTGAACCGGCAACAATCAAATTTTGTAATTTATTTGATTTTCTTAACTTTTTAAGAGGCAGGTGTTCGCATTAACAATGTTCCTCTGGTTGTATATCATCACCTGAACGCAAGCTCACCTCGGCCTCGGACACAATCACACGGACTATAAATTATTTTTGCAATTTTACAAAAAACGTTATTTTATTAGAATTTCATTTAGAAAATATTATTTCATTATCGCTAATTTATTTCTCAAAATAATTGAATGCTATATAAATTAGGATTTAACGATGACGTTTTTTTAGATGCAACGTGTTTCACGTGAGTCATTGAAGGAGTTCAAGATATATGGATGTCTGTCGGTGTGTGTGGATGTGTGTGTGTGGATGTGTGTGGATGTGTTTGTGTGGATCTGTGTGTTTGTGTGTGTGTGTGGATGTTTGTGTGGATGTGTGTGTGGATGTGTGTGTGGGTATGTATGTGTGGATGTATGTGTGGATGTGTGTGTGTGTGTAAATGTATGTGTAGATGTTTGTGTGGAAGTGTGTGTAGATGTTTGTGTGAATGTGTGTGTGTGGAAGATGTGTGTAGATATGTGTGTGTGTGCGTGTGTGTGTGGAAGTGTGTGTAGATGTGTGCATGTGAATGTGTGTGTGTGTGATTGTTTACGAGCAGTTAATAAGACGGCGAGTTGCAAGGCAATTAATTTCTTGCAGGCACAACAGCCGAGGTAGGCAATACATTTGGCAATAAATAATAAAATGCACGATTAAAATATCACTTTCCATGCTTGTTCAATAAATTCAAGATAGCGGAGAAACAACTTGTCAGGAGTTTCAGTTTTTTTTGTCTGGATCTACATCTCGATGAAATGATAATAATAATAATAGCAACAACAACAACAATAATAATAATAACGATAATAATAACAATAACAGCGGTAGCGATAATAAATAATAAAAAAATAATAGGAAAACAAATTAATTAGACATTCAATAAAATGAAAACGGATCAACAAACAAATAAAGAAAGCATCCGAAAGCAATAATCAATAAATAATTAGTTAATATGGGATGGCTGAACAATTGTTATTGATCTGATAAGAAATGTTCGTCACACATCGCAATGCAAACTACACACACGCACACAGTACACACAACACAAGTCATCAAACACAGTACACACAACACAAGTCACATAACTCAGTGCACATAACACTGTACAATACACAACACAATCCAGACGAAACACGACAGATCAGTAGAACTCAACAGAAGAGAGCAAGATGGCTGCTCACTGACTGACTTGCTAAAGAACGAAACATTTATTTATCCATTTATCGATAAAATTAAAAAAACTAAAATGAATTTGTAGAACGTGACAGACACACATTCAAAAAATGTTTTAGTTTGATAACACGTTTCATACGAGGGATGCTTTCACATTGCTGCATGTGCTGTTCTGCATTCTTCGTTCATTCAGAGTTATCTCTAGGCTATGTTATCAGATTTGATGCAAAAAATTGTTATTCATTTTAACAGCCATACTAGCAGAAATATACGCTAAATAGTAAAGTTTTATCGTGAGAGGTTTCAACATTTGCAAGCACATCTGCGGTCTGTTGTGTTAGTTATCAAAACGATCAGAAAATTAATTCTTTTCAACTGAGCAACTGCATTGGCCATTTATGTATTTAGCTGTGGTAGCAGTTTATGGGACTGCAATCATTACGCCATCGTTGACGCAGCTGTAGTAACAACGACAAAATTGTCGCCATGACTTCGTACAACCACTTGCTATAACTGGAGGCATTAGATCGGACGGTGTCAAAATATAACTAACACCAACAACAACACAATTCTAATGGTTGTCAATGTCATGGTTATTTTCACTAGTGTTGTTAGTGTCATTGTCATCAGCATCCATAGTGACGTTAGTGTCTTCAGTTGTGGTTGCTACGGCTGTTAATGACGTTTGGTAGTGTTGTTATCCTCGTCAATGCCCTCCTATATGTTGATGTTTGTGATGTCATTATGATGTGGTTATTGGTGTAATGTTGTTGTTTTGTAGTCGCCGTAATCATTTATTAATACTGGCAAATTATTTGTTTTATTATTGTTATTATTACTATTGTTGTTGTTGTTACTATTATCATCATCATCATCATCCCCATCGCCGCCATCGTGCTTGTTGTCATCATCTCGTGCAAGAATTGACATTTTTTTTTACAAAAAATTGAATATCGTCATAAATTTTTTAATCCTAATAATCAGTTTCAATGCTTGTTTTTTTTCATAACCGCAATTACAATGATTTATCAATGAATTATCAAGCATTAATGATTATTATCATTATTATCGTTATCATTGTCGTTATCTGTAGCTTAGAAGTTAGGGTTAGGACACAACATCCTTGAAGAACTCCACACGAATGGTGCAGGTGCGCACAATGAGATGAGTTAAATTAGAAAAAAAAATGATGTGCCGAAATGGAAAAAATATATTCAACAATACCGATTTTTGTTAAATTTAAGTAAAATTAAAGATAAATTTAGGTAAGTAAAATTAATGTGCAAGCAGCTTAATTGCCATCACCATGTAACATAGAAACAATACAAAACTATCATCTTTTTATTTTCATCATTACAGACATAATGCTAGATCATTATCATCACCATCTTCAAAGATATCACTGTAACCTGTCGTCGTCATCATTGCGCTAAATATGGTCATCATTATCATCATCGTCGCCATCATAATCATCATTATCCTCATCATCATCATCATCATCATCATCATCGCCATCATCATCGTCATCATCGTCATCGCCGCGATCGTGGCCACTTGCTGCAAATGTTTGAAAGATTGTACGGGAGGCCTTTCATGCAGGAGAGATTCAAGCAGAGAATGAATGCATGTGAATATCGAGCGTCCCAACAATAAGACAATCACTCTTCCTTCTTAATTGGCGTGAATGATTGTGATGATGACGACGATGATGACGACGATGTTGATGATGATGATGATGGTAGTGTTGTATGGTGATATATGACACAAGCGCGTGTGTGGCAATGATATGCACTTTATGCGTTGCCGTGACGATGTGATGATGTGTATCATCACATATGTGCTGAAGTGTGCACACATGTGATGATGAAATTGATGATTCTGATGATGATGGTGATGATGGTGGAGATGAACCTAATGGTTATGGTGAAAATGAGCAAACTGAAGTTGTGATTTAACGGTCGAACTAAGCTTGGATGCCACCAAATTGTGGTGCGGTCGATTGATTCTGCGGTGGTTCAACTTCAACTCGTCTGAATGTGAATGTAATTATTTTACTGCAAATTTTGTTTTAGAATTTACAAAAATTGTTAATTAAATGCTATTTTTTAAAAGAATTAATACAAATTTTCATAAAAATTATATTTAAGTTTTTTCTTTTCAAAAAAATTTCAAACTTACTTTTGAATGTGATTATGTTCACTTAACTTTTGTACACCACCTCATGTACAACGACGAATTCCGTAATAGAACACTAACAAATAGATGTTACTCCCATTCAAAAAACACGTGCAACCGACTAAGGAGGAAACATGTTACCATTTGAGTAATAATCACACTTTAACCTCAACTGCTAGTTCTATCGGGAAATTGAGTGCGAAGAATGAGGCGTCAAGTGTCAGTCGGAGACATTAATTTCATATCTGCTCCCTTCTCTGCCTTCAGCCGCAAGACATTAATTTCGCATCTTCCCTATCTGTTTCTACTTGGAATTTTTAAAAAAATCAACCCAGCTGTCCGAGATAAATAACTTCTGATGTCTTCTCTCTGAAAATTTCATATTCATATTCATGTTTTTGTTTGAACAGTTGCAATGTGTTATAAACGTTACAATTTATATTTTTAACTACTTATTGAAATTTGAACACATTTTGTCTGGTGAAAAAATTTACTTTGGCATAATGAGTCTGTAAAATCTTTGCTTGATTAGTCGAGATGGAATGTGACACCGGCTACTCAATGAAATGTAATTATAGGCCATTCAGTGGTTCTACGGAAGAGACGAGCTGCCTGCAAATGAGCATAACGCACAAAGTTTCTTAAAACAAAACAACGCATGTATATCAACCATTAGCCGCTGTAAAATTAGCTGAAGATCCGGACAAATACTCACATGCATCTCCAGATTCGTTACTTTCAACTTTGATACCCAAACTGCAAAGTAAAGCTGACTGAACTAGTACAATATAAGAAGGAAAGAAATTCTAAATAACGACACAAAAGAAAATATAGGTCACGATCCTATATCCACACAACCAACATATCCTGTCTGTCTGCCTGCCTATCTCTATATATCAGTGTCATCACAACAATTGCAACACTGCAGTAACAATTATGCGACTACACTGCAACACAACAACAAGAACACGGCAACACAAAATAAAGTTAGATGTGCTAAAAATATAGCCACATAATATTCTCAGCAATACATTTTTTAATTTCTAGACCTAACTCTCTAACCGTATCACGCCAGGATATCATTATGACAAGAGCCATCCTAACAAACTAATGTTCACAGCAACGATATTCTGAACAATATTCTTCATAACAACAACTACAACAACATCAACTACAATCACACCAACCAAAACAGTAGCAATTAGCAACAACAACATCGTCAACACACAATCACACCATCAGAAAAAGTAACAACAACAACGTAAACAAATTGACACCAACGAAAACATTAACAATAGCAACTACATTAACAACAAACGCATTCATCCGTGCCGACATGTTTATTAACATTGTTTTATTGCTCCTTTTTGTTCTTATCATTGCTATAATTACCATGATTATCAAATGATTTTCATTAGTTCATTTGATACTTTCTCTCGTTCAACTAATCCTCTATACTTCGTTTTAAAAGAGTAATTATAAGATTACAAACAGAAAATTATTCAGTACGCTAACAACATGCTCACAATAACACGTGCACAAGTTGTAACACGCACAGCTTTTAAGCACACGCACACACATGCACACATAAGTTTCTACACATGAACACGCCACAAACATTAACACAAATGAATTCAACAAGTTCATTTATACATTTATACGTATCCACACACACACGCACACGCACACAAACATACAAATACACACAATCACACACAAACATTAAATTTATTTATTTAACTATTGTGCATTACTTAAAAAAGTATTTAAATGCTACATGCACATTATAATTATTTATTTAATTACTCACTCCTGAAATGAGCAAACCACATAAGTGACAATTAGACATAATATCATAGACATTCGTTCGTACTTGAAATACATATATGGTAAAGGTTCCTGAGACAATTTTTGCTTCACATCCCTACTAACGACTCTTACAATTTGTAAGAACATTTTATACCAAACAGTTAAACTTTTCAATATACGATATCTTTGCTACGCAACACTTGGTGCGCGTGTACCTAAGTGTCCTGCGTGTTTTGCTAGCTGGGTCGTCTTTATCGCATTTTTATTTAATTTTATTTATTTTTTAATTTATCTATTAATTAATTTGTTTAATTATTTATCCATACCCATTTTAAAATGAAAGTTTCACATGTGGGTAAATTAATGGGAAAAAGACTGATTTTATTTTAAGTGAAGCCAAATCACATTGAAAATTATTTTAGGGGCTTAACCAATCAAGCTCCAAGTGATTCAACATAGTGTAAACTGCTGTGCTAACTTCATTGGCTTTATTTGCGATTGAAAACTTATTCGCAGCATTAATTGAAATTTTATTGAAACTGTTTGAAATCACGCCGCCTAAATATGACTATATATAAAATTTTTAAATATTTCAAATGTATTATTTATTATTACAAAGTGTTACAAATTATTGTAAATTATTATTGAAAGTCGTTGGTCACTCAGCATGAAACCTCATGTTTCTCACGCAGTTAGTTACTTGCAGTCTGTAAATTATATTTCGCTTGTTACAGCTCTATCAAAAACAGCTAGCTAGCAGTGCAATTGCAATCTTAAAAAATTGTAATAATTTCTATAAATGAAAAGGTTGAACTACTTAAAGTAAAAAAAATATTAATGATGATGATAATAATAATAACAATAAAAAGAAGAAAAAAATGATGAAAATGATGATCGTGATAATTACGACAAAAATGTCAAATAACAACAACATTTGTTATATCAACACTAATGTACATTAATGTTTGTTTTTCTAATGCAACAACCATTATTATTATCATTATTATTATTATTATTATTGTTATTAATATTAATATTATAATTATTATTTCCATTATTACTATGTATTGCAAGAGAGTTGGCCAATTTCTTACAGCTCACTGTTTTTTAATCATAATACTTGTCTTTATTCGT